GTCTTCTACCCACTTTTTTAATCAGATTTTTTTTTGGTGTTGTTGTATTAGCTGTTTGTATATTTTGGATAATAACCCCTCACTGGTCATATCATTTGCAAATATTTTCTCTCATTCAGTAGGTTCTTTTCATTTTGTTGATAGTTTCCTTTGCTGTGCAAAAGCTTCTAAATTTAATTAGGCTCCATTTATTTGTTTTTTATTTACTTTGCTAAGGAAATGGATTAAAAATATTGCTATGATTTATGTCAAAGAGTGTTCTGCCTACGTTTTCATGTAGGAGTGTTACAGTTTCTGGCCTTACATTTAGGGTTTTAATCCTTTTTGAATTTATTTTTGTATGTGGTGTTAGAGAATGTTCTAATTTCTTCCATTTACATGAAGCTCTCCAGTTATCTCAGCCCTGCTGAGGGGATTCTTTTCTCCATTGTATGTTCATTCCTCCTTTGTTGTAGATTAGTGGACCATAAGTGTGTGTGGTTATTTCTGGGCTCACTATTCTGTCCCATTGACCTGCGTGTCAGTTTCTGTGCCAGTTCCATGCTGTTTTGGTTCCTGTAGCTTTGTCGTATAGTCTGAAGTCGGGGAGTGTGAGTCCTCCAGCTCTGTTCTTCTTTCTCAAGATAGAAAATTTAAACTTGTTTTATTTCTGTGAAAAATGCCTTTGGCATTTTAATAGGGATTGCATTGAAACTGTAGATTACTTTGTGTAGAGTGGACATTTTAACAGTGTTAATTCTTCCAGTCTGTGAACATGATATATATTTACATCTGTTTGTGTTGTCTTCCATTTCTTTCATTGTTGTCTTATAGTTTTCTGAGTACAGGTCTTTTACAAACTCCTTAGGTAGGTTTATTCATAACTATTTTATTCCTTCTGATGTGATAGTAAATGCAATCATTTCCTTAGTTTCTCTTTCTGACAGTTCATTGTTAGTGAATAGAAATGCAATAGGTTTCTGTGTATTAATTTTGTATTCTGCAACTTCATCAAATTCAATGATGAGCTCTAGTAGTTTTCTGGTGGTGTCTTTAGAATTTTCTCAGTATAGTATCATATCATCTGCAAAGTTTTACTTCTTCCTTTCCAGTTTGGATTCCTTTTATTTCTTTTTCTTTGATTGCTGTGGCTAGGACTTCCAAGACTATGTTGAATAAAAGCGGTGAGAGCGGGCATCCTTGTCTTGCTCCTGATCTTAGAGGGAATGCTTTCAGCTTTTCACCACTGAGTACGATCTTAGCTGTGAGTTTGTCATGTATGACCTTTATTATGTTGAGGTAGGTTCTCTCTATGCCTACTTTCTGGAGAATTTTTTTTTTTTAATCATAAATGGATGTTGAATTTTGTCAGAAGCTTTTTCTGTGTCTATTGAGATGATCATATTGTTTTTATTTTTCAATTTGTTAAGGTGGTCTACCACAATGATTGATTTGCAGATACTGAAAAATCTTTGCATCCCTGGGATAAATCCCACTTGATCATGGTGTACGATCTCTTTTAATGTGTTGTTGAATTCAGTTTGCTAATATTTTGTTGAGGATTTTTGCAGCTATATTCATCAGTGATATTGGCCTTTAGTTTTTTATTCTTGTGATACATTTGTCTGGTTTTGGTATCAGGGTGGTGCTGGCTTCATAGAATGAATTCAGAAGTGTTCCTTCCTCTGCAGTTGAAAATGCATCTGTGTGAATCTCCACGTGTCCTGATCGGGGTCTCGAGAGTCTGGGAGCCCTCACTTGTGTTGGCCACCCCCCCTCCCCCCGATTATGCAACTGAGGAGGTGGCGGGCCAGTCACGGAGGGTGGATTTGGGGAAGAGGGTTTGTTTTGACTTTTGAGTTTGTGGTGCCCTTGAGCTTGCCCAGGAGTTGCGGGTGGAGATCAGAAGCTGGGAGACCCTGCTTGGGGTGGGTGTGGTTGCTGGGGGAGGGAGAGACACCACGTGGAGGAGCCTGGGGGGACGTGCACGTGCTGAATCTACTGAGCGGCTGGGGAAGAGGACCGCGCGGAGCTGGGCCAGCTCATGTGGTCCTCGGTGGCCAGTGTGAGAGGTCTTCGGAGGCACCAAGGCCTGGGCCCCCAGTGCGGGTGAGCCCTTGAGAAGCTGCCCGGGGGAGCGGCAGCGCAGCCTGGGGAAGGAGGCCTCTACTCCTTCCCTGTTTAGGGAGGTTTGCGTATCTTCAGATCCCAGCAGGCGGGGTCCGCCCCCCACCCCGAGGTGCTGGGGACGGTGTTGAGGGTCCAGGGGAGATGCTGGCCTGGGGAGAGGGAAGGGCGCACACTGCTGGGGGAGGGCTGGTCAGGGACGGGTGGGCGGGTGGTGTTTGTCATCTCCATAGTGGAAGAGATAGGCCGCAGGGAGCGGAGAGCTGAAAGGCTGGCGTTGGGGGTGGGTGTGAGGGGCAGGGCTCTGCTGCTGGCCCCCTCCCAGTATGGCTCTGCTTCCTCCAGGAAGCCCTTTGTGTGGGGAGGGGGGAGCCTAGAGCAGCAGGTTCAAGCCCACCTCTGATGCTGAGCAGTTCTGCAGCTGAAGACAAGTTACTTCTTTGTGCCTCTGTTTCCTCATCTGCAAAATGGGAATAACAATCGTTACCTACCTAATAGTGACATCTTATACACACGCCTTCCCAAGTATAATGTCCCCAGAACAGCGCTGCCCGGAGTCCAAAATCAGTGCCATGGGGGCTGGGGGTGGGTGGGTGGAGGGCAGCCCGTGTCGGGGAGGGGCTGCTCCCTCCCAGAGGCCCCCGGGGGCCCACACCCCACCTTCCAGGCCCAGTGCTCTGCTCTCTGCTGCCCTCACCAAGGCCTCTCTCTGACTCGCAGCTCCTGCCTTCCTCTGACGAGGACCCTGTGGTCACATGCTCCCCCGCCGACCCCGTGAATCCAGGGGGACCTCCCTCCTGGGACCCTTCCCCTCATCACATCTGCAGGGTCCCCTTGGCCTTGTGAGTTGACAGGTTCCAGGGATCTGGACATGGGTGGCTCTGGGGCGTGTTTCAGCCCACACCCCTTTAGGAGATCCAGTGGGAAGAGTGAAGCGCAGTGCATGGCACACCTCGACACACACATTTTTAGTGATGGATGTTAATTCCAGCCATCATACTTAAGTGATTAATTTGGCACCACTTAGATATTAAATAATATGGTCATTTAGGGCTTCCCTCATAGCTCAGCTGGTAAAGAATCCGCCTGCAATGCAGGTGACCCCGCTTCGATCCCTGTGCCAGGAAGATCCCCTGGAGAAGGGATAGGCTACCCACTCCAGTATTCTTGGGCTTCCCTTGTGGCTCAGCTGGTAAAGAATTCACCTGCAATGCAAGAGAGCTGGGTTCGATTCCTGGGTTGGGAAGATCCCCCGGAGAAGGCAAAGGCTATCCACTCCAGTATTCTGGCCTGGAGAATTCCATGAACTGTATGTATAGTCCACGGGGTCGCAAAGAGTTGGACACGACTGAGCGACTTTCACTTTAGAAATAAATTATTCTGTGTTCATCATAAAATAATTAAACATACATCCTGCAGACCATTGTTCTGTCATCCTTGAAGCTGCGCTTGCAGTTGTATGATAATAGGCTTTCCATGTTGTCCAGTTCTTACACTTTTTGGTGTAGATGCATCAATTACTTTGTGTTAGGCTTCTGTTACTGGAAACTGTTTCCCAAGACCTGAGAATTTCTTCTGACAATGTTAAAACAATTGTTTAAAAAACATACACTCTTTAAGAAAACATGTTCTATCACATCCTGGATCTTCACAGTATAATCTACCGTGTGCTGCTTTTGCAAGTGATCTTTAAAGGGTTTTGTGAGGAGAGCGGTCCTCCCAGCGGGCCTGACTGCCGTCCTCCGAGAGGCCCAGGTGCGGGGCCGGCCCTGGGCTGGCGTCCAGGAGCTGGGGTGTCGGCAGGGCCCCCAGCACCCCCACCGATGGGGGCCCCCCGTGCCTCCCTGCTGTGTCTGCGCTCACACCCTTCTCCCTGGGGCTGGACTGAGCGTCTGCCCCGCAGAGGGGCCCTCGGGGCCGGCCCCCAGTAGGAACCCCGGCTCTGAGTCTGTGACGGGCTTCCCTGGGGACACGTGTCTCTGTGGGTCCGTGTGTGTCCTCGGGACGGGGTTCTGGAAGCTGGCGCCCGTCTGCCCTGGACCCCACCCCCCCTCACCCACTGGACCTTCTCCCATCGCTAGTTCTGCTTCGCAGCTTCTTGCTGTGATGGATCAGAGCCGACAGGACGAATGAGTCCTGCCTGTCCTGCTGGAACCCGGGGTGGCCTTGGGGACCCCCACCCGGGTTTGTTTCTGCTGGCAACCAGTTCTTTTCACTGTGCAGTCGTCCCCCTGGGACAGTTAAGTCCAGATTCCTGCTCTCCTCGCTTCTCTCGTCTGTTCCGTGGGGTGGCCTCCATCCTGCGGGACTTTTTTCAGCCCGGTGTGTTCTGTCCACACCTGGCCTTTGTTCAAAGTCAATTACTGCAGAGAGGGCGGGGGATGTGAGGGAAAACCAGCCGATACCCCTCCCCGGGGCGGACCTGGTGTGGACGGCAGCGGTGGTCAGAGACAGACTGGGCTAGGGACGCGGCTCCGCCCTGGGCTCTGAAGCACAGCCCCGGGGAGGCGCAGGGGCCCGCCGGAGCGCCGGGGATCCGGGGCGCGCCTCGGCGTCCAGACCCCAGGGGGCAGCTTCCGCTGGAGTCCTGTGCTCCTCAGACCTGGGGTGGGGCGGGCCGAGGTGGGGGTCGGAAGGACAGCAGGCCTACCCCTGAAGGGGGCCCCTTGGGCTGCACAACGACCGCGCCCCTTCCGCGCGTTGACCCCGCGGCGGCTGCGCTGTGAGCTGTGCCTTCGTGTTCAAGCAAGCACGCCGCGCTGGGTGCGATCTTCAACAACCAGCTCTCTCTTCTTCCTCCGCAGGGCGCCCCTCCGAGGAGACCGGGCTGGCTGCCGGCAGCCTCGCGCCATGGGCCGGCCGGCGGGGTGAGCGATGCACGGGGCGCGGCGGACATGTTCCGAGCGGGGGACCCGGCGCCCGCGCGCCTGCGCAGCGTGGAGGTGGCCCGGGGCCGGGCGGGCTACGGCTTCACGCTCTCGGGCCAGGCGCCCTGCGTGCTCAGCTGCGTCCTCAGGGGCAGCCCCGCCGACCTCGTGGGCCTCCGCGCCGGCGACCAGATCCTCACCGTCAACGAGATCAACGTGAAGAAGGCGTCCCACGAAGACGTGGTGAAGCTAATCGGGAAGTGCTCTGGGGTCCTGCACATGGTGATCGCGGAGGGCGGCGGCCACCTGGAGTCCTGCTCCAGTGACGAAGAGGTCGGCTTTTACGAAGGAAAAGGCTGGCTGAAGCCCAAACTCGACTCTAAGGCCTTAGGAATAAACAGGGCAGAGAGAGTCGTTGAGGAAATGCAGTCAGGAGGGATTTTCAACATGATCTTTGAAAACCCTGGCCTTCGAGCCAGCAGCTCGGAGCCCCTGAAGCTGAAACAGAGGTCGCTTTCAGAGTCGGCCGCCGGCCGGTGTGACCTTGCGCACGAGAGTGCAAGTAATCCACATCCCAGCCTGCCTTCTAAGGAGGAGACGCCCAAAGCGGGGAACCACGGTTCTGCTTTCAGCGCGGGGCTGGAGGCTTCTGAGGACTTTGGGCTGGATGCAAGCATTCTCAACGTGGCCATGGTCGTAGGCTACCTGGGCTCCATCGAGCTGCCGTCCACCGGCTGCAGCCTGGAGTCGGACAGCGTGCAGGCTATCCGGGGCTGCCTGCGGCGCCTTCGGGCTGAGCAGAAGATCCACTCGCTGGTGACCATGAAGGTCATGCACGACTGTGTGCAGCTGTGCACGGACAAGGCGGCCGTGCTGGCCCGCTACCCGGCCGAGAGGCTGGCCTTCAGTGCCGTGTGCCCGGACGACAGGAGGTTTTTCGGGCTGGTGACCATGCAGGCGGGTGATGATGGGAGCCTGGCGCAGGAGGAGGACGGCGTCCTGCGGACGTCCTGCCACGTGTTCATGGTGGACCCCGACCTGTTCAGCCACAAGATCCACCAGGGCATCGCCCGGCGCTTCGGGTTTGAGTGCACGGCCGACCCCGACACCAATGGCTGCCTGGAGTTCCCCGCGTCCTCGCTGCCTGTGCTGCAGTTCATCTCGGTGCTCTACCGGGACATGGGCGAGCTGATCGAGGGTGTGCGGGCCCGGGCCTTTGCTGACGGGGACGCCGACGCCCACCAGAACACCAGCACGAGCAGCAACAGCGACAGCGGCATCGGGAACTTCAGCCCCGAGGACAGGGGCAGCCGCGTGCTCGTGGTGGACCTGGGCGCCGCCTCCAGCAGGCACGGCCCTGGCGGCGGCGCCTGGGAGGGCGCGGGCGGAAGGGGCCCCCAGCCCTGGGCCGCCCCCTGGAATGGGGCCTTCTGCCTCGACCCCGAGGGGGCCCCGTTCGAGGCCGCCCCGCAGGCTGACAGGTGCAGGGACCTCGGCAAGCACCTGGGGCCCGCTCCGCACGCAGAGGGCCCTCCGGCCCCACTGAGGTGTCCGGCCCCGCCTTCCCGGAGGGGCGCTGCGGGCCCTGGCAGTGGCTCCGGCCAGCGGTGGCTCCCGGTCCACGTGCTGCAGGAGTGGCAGTGTGGGCACGTCAGCGACCAGGAGTCTTACACCGACTCCACGGATGGCTGGTCCAGCATCAACTGCGGCACGCTGCCCCCGCCCATGAGCAAGATTCCTGCCGACCGCTACCGTGTGGAGGGCAGCCCGGCCCAGCCCCCGCCCAGCACCCAGCGGAGGGACTGGGCCAGGAAGGCCCTCGGCGTGCAGAACATCTTCGGCCCCCATCGAAGTGTTAGGAAGACCAAGGAAGACAAAAAGGTGAGCCTGGAGGGAGGGTTAGGGAGGCGAGCATGGTTCCTGACTCGGTCAGTTACCGATGGACGCCGGCACCTGTGTGGCTCGCTCCCCTGTGCCCGCTTCCTCCCGCCTGGCCCAGGTGGCCTCTGGCAGCCTCACAGCACCTCCCTCGGGTTCAGCCGGGCTCTGGGTGGGGCCCAGGTGGGACAGGTGGCGGTGGAGGGGCGGTGAGCACCTGGTCGGGGTAAGGCCCTCCTCCCTGCTTCCCACCCTTTCCTGCTGCAGTGGGTGCCGCGGGGGCAAATTCTGGATGCTCAGCCTGTTCCCTTCGGGATGGGGAGCTTCCCCGAGGCGTTTCCTCCACCCAGGAGGTGCTGCTAGGAGAAAACACCAGCTGAAGTCGGCTGCAGACAGCTCGGGACAGGCTTGGAATACACAGTCCAAGTGTGAGTCCCTTAGTCGTGCCCAGCTCTTTGCGACCCCATGGACTGTAGCCCGCCAGGCTCCTCTGTCCATGAGATTTCCTAGGCAAGAATACTGGAGTGGGCTACCATTTCCTCCTCCAGGGGTCTTTCTGACCCAGGGATCAAACCTGCCAAAATTGGCAGGTGGGTTCTGTACCATCTGAGCCAGGCTGGGCCCCCAGCAGGTGCTGGCGGGAGGGCTGAGACATGGGGTGCCGGCTGGAACAAGGGGGGCTGGCTCGCAGCTCAGATGGTTTGAGAGGAGCTGTTCTCAGCGGACCTTTGTGATTTAAAGTATCTTTTCTGTGTTTGTTGGCACCTTTGTTCCCGGAAGCTGAAAATAAATCCCGGGAGGAGGCCCAGAAGGGGTTGGCTGGTCGGGTGGGGGCAGAGTGGAGGAGGCACTGGGCTGTGGAGCCTGAGGCTGTCCTCCTCGCGACCCGACCCCTTCCCAGGCCTGATGGGACACACTTGAAAGAAAACTTAGAGACAGGAGAGAGTCTCTCAGGGTTTTCCCTCCCACGACGACCGGGTGACCCTCTGCTGTGTCTGAGCACAGACCTGTGCTTCTGTAAACACAGCTGTGATCACAGGGCCTGACCGCATTCCCACAGTGGCCGGGCTCGGGGGTTCTGCCCTCGTTCCCCGGGTCTGAGCTGCCGGGCCGGGGTCTCCTTCCCACCCGCTCCCGCTGGGCCACCCGCGGCGTGGACGGGTGGGCGGCAGCTTCCGCCTGGGCTTCCCTGTTGGGTCGGGGGGTGCTGGGGAGGGGAGGCCCCGGAAGGTGGCCAAAGCGTTATCTGTAGTACAGGCGTTGGCCCTCTCTCTGAGTACGTACCCCGCGAGTGGGTTCTCCCCACGGCCGCTGTGTCGGGGGACCTTACACTGACTGGACGCAGGGTGTCTGTCTGTCCGGTGGACGGCAGTGCGCCTCACGTCTGCCCCCTGGGTGGGAGTGCCCATCGGCCCCGTTCAGCTCCACGCTGTCTCAGGCTCCTTGGGGGCGGGGGTCTGACCTCAGGGACCCCGGGACCGTGGGTGTGCTGTGTCCCTGCAGGCTGGTGACTGGTCCTCCAGGGGCCAAGGACTTGTCTGAGGTCAGCCGTCAGGATGAAGCAGGTTCATGGTTCAAACCTTTCTTCTTTCTGTTTTTCACAAGACTGTCTTTTAGAGCCGTTTTAGGTTTATAATGAAGTTGAGGGGAAGGCACAGAAAGGTAGCTCTGTCCTCAAAGGTGCACAGCCTCCCCCCACCCCTGTCCCTGTCCCCCCCCAAGGGAACTTTGTCACCATCAGCAGACCTGACTCCACAGTTTCTGCTAGGGTCACTCTTGTGTGTGTTCTGCGGACTTGCACAAACGTATAAGTGGATCACGTAGAGTGGTTTTCACGGCCTTAAACACGCTCCGTGCTCTGCCCGCTCCTCCCGCCCTTCTGTCAGCTCTTGGGCATCACTCAGGCTTTCACCGTCTCCACTGCTCCGCTCTTTCAGAATGCCAGCATGGCACACGGCTATGGCCTTTTCAGATTGGCTTCCTTCACTTAGCCTTGTCTTTCATGGCTCGTTAGCTCATTTTCCTTTAGCACTAACAACATTCCATGGTCTGGAGGCATCACGGTGTATTTATCCATTCCCCTCCTGAAGGACACTTTGGTTGCTTCCAGGTTCTGGCAGCTCTGAATAAAACTGATCGAAACATCTGTGTGCAGGTTTTCCTGTGGGTGTAAGCTTTCAACTTCTGTGGGTAAGCTCCAAGGGAGGGAGATTGCTGAATTGTGGGCTCGGAGTGTGTGCTGCTTTGTAAGAAAGTATCTTCCAAAGTGGCTGCACCATTTTGCATTTCTGCCAGCAATGATGAAAAGTGTCGCTTCACGTTCTGGCACCAAATGCGTGTCAGTGTTTAGCATTTTTGCCATTCTGACACTTGTGTAGTGGTATCTCATTGTCTTAACTTGCATCTCCCTGATGACATGTGATGTTGAATATCTCTTCCTATACTTACTTATCGTCTGTGTATCTTTGGTGAGGTGTCTGCTAAGATCTTTGGCCCATTTTTTATCAGTTGTTTGGCCACACTGCATGGCATGTGGGGTTCTAGTTTCTCTCGACCAGGGAGCAGACCCATGCCCTCTGCACTGAAAGTGTGAAGTCTTAACCACTGGGCTGCCAGGGGAGCCCCGAGTCCTGGACTGTGTGTTTTCTTACCGTTGAGTTTTAAGAGTTCTCTGTTTTGGATGATAGGCCTTCACACAGAGTGAAAACTCTTCATTTTCATGAGGTCCGGCAGCTTATCAGCGCTTTCGTTCGTGGATCGTGTCTTTGGTGCTGTACCAAACGCGCACTGAACCCGCGGTCTTCCAGGTTTCCTCCTGTGCTGTCTTCTAGGGGCTTTTTGATTTTTTGTTTTACACTGATGTCTGTGATCCCCTTGGAGTTAATTTTCTGAAGGGTGTGAAGTCTGTGTCTAGATTCAGTTTTTGGCTGTGGATGCCTATTGTTCCAGCACCCTTTGTAGAAAAGACGGTCATTGTTCTCTTGTATTATCTTTGACCCTTTGTCAGAGATCAGTGGTTTGTACTTAGGAGGGTCTTGGACTTCTTTTTAATGTTCTTTCACCTTGAGCAAAAATGTAGTGAAAACGAAGGTGTTGGCTGTTACTACTTCTTTTGTGACAGAAGAACGAAGCCCTTGGTGCGGAAGGGAGGTCTCCGGTGCTGGGGAGTGGCGACATAGCGTTTGTTTTATCTCCTTATTTGACCTGAATGGGGATGCTGTGAGCTCATCATCTTACTGATAAGGAGAGTAGGGTTTATGCACATCCAGCAACTTGCCAGTAGTCAGGTGGCATTCATCTTTCAATGTGACGGACACACAATTTATCTAAGTAGTAATAGTAAGTAGTACAGTAATAAATAAGTAGTAATAGATTGTACGTTGCTGCATCCCAGCTCCAGTCTCGGGAAGTGTATCCGTTGCTCTTTGCTAAGTGGGTTCTCCTCATTTTAGCACAGGCTAAGCCCCCCCCCCCCCCAGCTGGAGTGGCAGAGGCTTCCAGGGTCCTAAGCTGGGGCTCCCGGTGTCCCTCCTGGTCTGGCCTGAGCTGGCGTGAGGCTTGTCTGCATCAGCAGAGGACAGGCCAGGAAGGGATGGAGGCCGGAAGCGCCAGGAATGCCAAGAGGAAGAGGCGTTAGGCGTGGGCGGGAGCGAGGCCAGAGATGGCGGAAGGTTGGGTAGGTGCGTCTGGAATTGCCGTCAGCTCCTCTCCATGGAGACTGTGGCTTCAGGGTTTTACCCTGTGCAGAACCAGGCTGCGTCCATCAGGATTTGGCCAGGAGACAGAAAACACGCCTGCGAGTTGAACGGGGAGAAGTTATCAGGAAGAACCAGGCCAGAGCTGGCTCACCGCCACGGGAGTGCGAATGGAACCCTGCACAGGAAGCAGCGGAGGGCCCAAGGCAGAGACGTAGAGCCTAGAGGGCAGGCCCGCGGGCGGCGGGCTGCCGGGCGGCGCTGGCTGCCGGGGAGCAGGCTGCCCCCGGCGACGGCCTCGGGAGGGTGTGGCCCTGACGGCCCCGCGGGAACCAGCACGGCCCTGCAGGCAGAGTGCTGTCCCGCGGCCCAGCTCCAGCGTCCGCCGCCGGCCAAGAAGGTGCTGAGTGCCTGGTGCTGAGAGGGAGCGCCTGGGACGCCGGCCCCGCCCCGCCCCGCCCCGCCCCGCCCCGCCCCGCCCCGCCCCGCCCCGCCCCGCCCCGCCCCTGCGCCCTCTGCGGCCCTCCCCCCAACCCCGTCCCCACTCAGCGTCTTTGTGCACGGGCTTTTCCAAGCCAATTCGGTCCAGGGCCTTCCTCGGATGTGGCCTCGAGGCCTTGGCATGTTTCACTTAGAGCTGAGCGGCTGACTGCGCAGAGGTTCCACCGCATGCCTGGAGCTGGTCAGTCTTGGTCTTCGCGGAGAGGCCCGGTGCACGTGGCGCCTCCATCGCTCAGACGGGCACCTGTCGCCTGCCTGGGCCTTCGCTCCTGATGGGCCGGCTCTGCCCTGCCGCACAGCCCTCGGGCGGGCACGGCCCTCCAGGGTCCCGAGGGGGCTCTGCATGCCCCAGGGGACTTCTCACCAGCTTTTCCTTTTCAGCCCCTCCGACTGTGCCCCTGAGCGGGTAGCCTGTGACCAGTGGGGGCAAGCAGGCCTGACCCCAGGCTGGGAGGGGCCTCCAGGGGTGCGCGCGGTCTCTCTCTTCCCTCCACCCTCTGGTGCTCATGACTGCTTCCATGTCATGCTCAGCAGCTCTTTGTGTTAAATGTTCCCATCGGAACTCCTGGCACACAGACTTTCTGTTCTGTCTGCCCGAAGGAAGCCAGCTGTTAGCAGGACTCTCATCACCGCGTTCGGTCACCAGTTGGTCCCCAAGTCCCATCACCTCCATGTCCAGATGGTCCTCTCTTCATTATGCGCCTTTTCCCGAGCCCTATCCTGTGTACCCTGCCTCAGTCCAGATCTTGGCTTTCTGGGACCCCTTTCTGCTGTGAGGCCTGGAGGAAAGGCATTTTCTGACTCTTG